ACGGGTCCCCACCCCAGGGCGGGCTGAATTCATTGGCAGCCGCGTTGACCCTCCAGTCAATGCGCCCATGGCTGCCCATGCCAGACTCCCGCCCACACCACACTGCCCCTGCTCGCATCTTCGTCTCATGCTAATTCTAATGCTATGCTGTCACCACAGGGTGGTGTTCCCGTGCCATGCGATTGTAGCACGCTGCCGTGCGAGCTTGTGTCACTATGCCTCTGTGTCATGCGTGCCACAGAGGCATGCTTGTTTCCCTGCGATGCTCTGTCATCCCTCCATGCACTACCCGCTTCTCCCACACAATGTCATCCGCATACCATCTTGCACTTCCCCACTTCAGAGCTCGCACCAATCCATTTCCTCTTGCCCCCCTACCCCCTGCCCCATTTCCCCATTGCGTTATCCCTTCTCTCCCTTGTCCCGTCGCCCCTTCCCGCTTCGTTCCCCCCCCCACTGTGTTGATCAATCAGATCATGGGAAACAAGATCTTCACGCACGAGATCAAATCGCAGTATGCCGCCCGCATAGACACGCTGCGGGCGTACGCGGCGGTGTCAAGGGACGTGCTGCGGCGCTGGGCCTTCCCCCTCGCGCCCGACTGCGCCTTCGGGGCCCACAGCGGCCGCACCGCTGTCACCCGAGGCAACCGGTACCGCGAGGAAGGTATGAGGAATGTTAGAGAAAGGTGAGAGGAAGGTGAGAGGAAGGTGAGAGGAAGGTGTGAAGAAAGTCCGAGAAAGTTGAGAGGAAGGTATGGGTAAGGTGGAAGGAAATTGATTGAGAGGAAGGTGAGAGGACGGCAGGTGGGGCATGAATAAATGTGCAGATGAAAGCTCTCCGTGTGAGCAGGAGCCATGCACGTGCATGTGACATGTGACATGTATGTGAGCAGCAGTGGAGGGCGTGTGAGCAGTGCATGTGCAAGCGAGCCTCACTCATAGAGTACGGTGTGTGCACTCAGCTCAGTTGGCATGCGAGGCTGCTGCTGTCCCCCCCCTCGCCTTCTACTCCACCTTCTCTCACATCACCGGTTCTCTCCCTGCCTCCGCCTGTTCACTTGAGCGCTCTGTGCCGGGGTCGCACTGTTTGACACCCGTTTCTCTCTCGCTCTCTCTTTCCTGCACTGCCCGCACCCTCTCCTCCCCTCCACGCCCCCTTGTCCCCCCTCTTCCCCCATGCCCCCCTGTCCGTCTGCAGCGGTGTCAGTGGCGCGGTCAGCAGTGATAGGGCCGGACACGCTGCTGGGGGAGGGAACAGTGGTGGCGGAGAGGGCGGTGGTGCGCGGGTCAGTGCTGGGCGCGCACTGCCTGGTGGGCGAGGGGGCCGTGGTGGACGGCAGCTTCCTGTGGGGCGGCGTCACGGTGGGCGCGGGCGCCGTGGTGCGGCATGCAGTGCTGTGTGACGGCGTGCAGGTCATGGCGGAGGGGACTGTGCACCCCGGCTCCGTGCTCTCTTTCGATGTGAGCGTGCTGCTGCTGGGATGGCAAATAGGCCAGGGGGAAGGGGGTGGGCATGTGGGCATGTGGGGATTGGGGGATGTGTGGCTGTGGGTGTGGGCATGTGTGAATGTGGGGATGTGGGGATGTGGTGGTGCGGCATGCAGTGCTGTGCGATGGCGTGCAGGTCATGGCGGGTGGAACGCTCAACCCCGGTTGCTTGCTCTCCTTTGATGTGCGTGGCTCGTGCTGTGGGCATGTGGGGATGTGGGGATGTGGCGATGTCGGGATGTGGGCATGTGGGCATGTGGGGATGTGGCGATGTGGCGATGTTGGGATGTGGGGATGGGGGGATGGATGTGGGGATGGGGGTATGGATGTGGGGATGGGGGGATGGATGTGGGGATGCGGGGATGCGGGGATGTTGGGATGCGTGATGTGTGCTGGCGTGCACACAGACAGGCGATTCTCTCTCACCCGCTTGACCCCTCTGTCCTTCCCTTCTCCCATAGTAGGTGGTGGTGGCAGCCAATCACGTGGTGCCAGCTGGCACGCGCATAGCGAGGGAGCAGCAGCCGGAGGAGGAGGGCAGCGATGATGAGAACACAGAGGGGCATGGCATGGGTGAGAACACAGAAGGGCATGGCATGGGTGAGTGAGTTGATTGGGCGGGTATAGGGCATGTGTGAGAGCAGGAATGTAGGGAGATTGGTGGGATGGGATGGGTGTGGGTGGCAATGGCATGTCAGGGTGTGATGATGATGATGATGAGAACAAGGAGCAGCAAAGATGAGGCCACCATTCAACTGGATGTACATGTGTTTTTGTTAAGCTATGACCCTCACTTGTGGCTTTGAATTTGTCGACAACATAATATGTTGGCAAATACGATATCTACTGTTGTCTCAACCCATCTATTACCTTGTTCCTCCGTTTTCTGTTGCCGTTTTTGTGTGCTGCGTGTGTCATGGACCCTTGTGTTCTCTCTCCCTCGCCTCTCCTCCACGCGGCATCAGCCCCGCCTGCAGTGCGAAGGAAGCAGGGCAAGCAAGGTGACGAGGAGGATGAGGATGATGAGGAGGAAGAGGATGAGGGAGAGGAAGATGAGGAGGAGGGAGAGGAGGAGAAGCAGGAGCTATCAGATGAAGACGAGGGGCCATGTGATGTGCAAGCTGTGAGTGCCATGTGATGTGCAAGCTGTGAGTGCCATGTGATGTGCAAGTTGTGAGTGCCATGTGATGTGCAAGCTGTGAGTGCCATGTGATGTGCAAGCTGTGAGTGCCATGTGATGTGCAAGCTGTGAGTGCCATGTGATGTGCAAGCGGTGAGTGCCATGTGATGTGCAAGCTGTGAGTGCCATGTGATGTGCAAGCTGTGAGTGCCATGTGATGTGCAAGCTGTGAGTGCCATGTGATGTGCAAGCTGTGAGTGCCATGTGATGTGCAAGCTGTGAGTGCCATGTGATGTGCAACCGGTGAGTGCCATGTGATGTGCAAGCTGTGAGTGCCATGTGATGTGCAAGCTGTGAGTGCCATGTGATGTGCAAGCTGTGAGTGCCATGTGATGTGCAAGCTGTGAGTGCCATGTGATGTGCAAGCTGTGAGTGCCATGTGATGTGCAAGCTGTGAGTGCCATGTGATGTGCAAGCTGTGAGTGCCATGTGATGTGCAAGCTGTGAGTGCCATGTGATGTGCAAGCTGTGAGTGCCATGTGATGTGCAAGCTGTGAGTGCCATGTGATGTGCAAGCTGTGAGTGCCATGTGATGTGCAAGCTGTGAGTGCCATGTGATGTGCAAGCTGTGAGTGCCATGTGATGTGCAAGCTGTGAGTGCCATGTGATGTGCAAGCGGTGAGTGCCATGTGATGTGCAAGCTGTGAGTGCCATGTGATGTGCAAGCTGTGAGTGCCATGTGATGTGCAAGCTGTGAGTGCCATGTGATGTGCAAGCTGTGAGTGCCATGTGATGTGCAAGCTGTGAGTGCCATGTGATGTGCAAGTTGTGAGTGCCATGTGATGTGCAAGTTGTGAGTGCCATGTGATGTGCAAGCTGTGAGTGCCATGTGATGTGCAAGCTGTGAGTGCCATGTGATGTGCAAGCTGTGAGTGCCATGTGATGTGCAAGCTGTGAGTGCCATGTGATGTGCAAGCGGTGAGTGCCATGTGATGTGCAGCTGTGAGTGCCATGTGATGTGCAAGCTGTGAGTGCCATGTGATGTGCAAGCTGTGAGTGCCATGTGATGTGCAAGCTGTGAGTGCCATGTGATGTGCAACCGGTGAGTGCCATGTGATGTGCAAGCTGTGAGTGCCATGTGATGTGCAAGCTGTGAGTGCCATGTGATGTGCAAGCTGTGAGTGCCATGTGATGTGCAAGCTGTGAGTGCCATGTGATGTGCAAGCTGTGAGTGCCATGTGATGTGCAAGCTGTGAGTGCCATGTGATGTGCAAGCTGTGAGTGCCATGTGATGTGCAAGCTGTGAGTGCCATGTGATGTGCAAGCTGTGAGTGCCATGTGATGTGCAAGCTGTGAGTGCCATGTGATGTGCAAGCGGTGAGTGCCATGTGATGTGCAAGCTGTGAGTGCCATGTGATGTGCAAGCTGTGAGTGCCATGTGATGTGCAAGCTGTGAGTGCCATGTGATGTGCAAGCTGTGAGTGCCATGTGATGTGCAAGTTGTGAGTGCCATGTGATGTGCAAGCTGTGAGTGCCATGTGATGTGCAAGCTGTGAGTGCCATGTGATGTGCAAGCTGTGAGTGCCATGTGATGTGCAAGCTGTGAGTGCCATGTGATGTGCAAGCGGTGAGTGCCATGTGATGTGCAGCTGTGAGTGCCATGTGATGTGCAAGCTGTGAGTGCCATGTGATGTGCAAGCTGTGAGTGCCATGTGATGTGCAAGCTGTGAGTGCCATGTGATGTGCAAGCTGTGAGTGCCATGTGATGTGCAAGCTGTGAGTGCCATGTGATGTGCAAGCTGTGAGTGCCATGTGATGTGCAAGCTGTGAGTGCCATGTGATGTGCAAGCTGTGAGTGCCATGTGATGTGCAAGCTGTGAGTGCCATGTGATGTGCAAGCTGTGAGTGCCATGTGATGTGCAAGCTGTGAGTGCCATGTGATGTGCAAGCGGTGAGTGCCATGTGATGTGCAGCTGTGAGTGCCATGTGATGTGCAAGCTGTGAGTGCCATGTGATGTGCAAGCTGTGAGTGCCATGTGATGTGCAAGCTGTGAGTGCCATGTGATGTGCAAGCTGTGAGTGCCATGTGATGTGCAAGCTGTGAGTGCCATGTGATGTGCAAGCTGTGAGTGCCATGTGATGTGCAAGTTGTGAGTGCCATGTGATGTGCAAGCTGTGAGTGCCATGTGATGTGCAAGCTGTGAGTGCCATGTGATGTGCAAGCTGTGAGTGCCATGTGATGTGCAAGCTGTGAGTGCCATGTGATGTGCAAGCGGTGAGTGCCATGTGATGTGCAGCTGTGAGTGCCATGTGATGTGCAAGCTGTGAGTGCCATGTGATGTGCAAGCTGTGAGTGCCATGTGATGTGCAAGCTGTGAGTGCCATGTGATGTGCAAGCTGTGAGTGCCATGTGATGTGCAAGCTGTGAGTGCCATGTGATGTGCAAGCTGTGAGTGCCATGTGATGTGCAAGCTGTGAGTGCCATGTGATGTGCAAGCTGTGAGTGCCATGTGATGTGCAAGCTGTGAGTGCCATGTGATGTGCAAGCTGTGAGTGCCATGTGATGTGCAAGCTGTGAGTGCCATGTGATGTGCAAGCGGTGAGTGCCATGTGATGTGCAGCTGTGAGTGCCATGTGATGTGCAAGCTGTGAGTGCCATGTGATGTGCAAGCTGTGAGTGCCATGTGATGTGCAAGCTGTGAGTGCCATGTGATGTGCAAGCTGTGAGTGCCATGTGATGTACAAACTGTGAATGCCATGTGATGTGCTGACATTGGTCATGTTGTGGCATGTGCATGTTTTTCAATATCCATGTGTCCATCTGCTGTATTCCTGCATGCATGGCCAGACGGGATGTGATAGCATGCCATGGCTTGGCACAGCATGCCATGGTGGTCTCGGTTTGCCCTTTTTTCACATTTCTCCTTCTCACCCCCATCACAGCACCTTCCTGCTTCCCTCTCCGCACCCCATCAGTTGAGCTGAGGAAACAAGCTTCGCTTTTTTCCCAAACCCTCCACCCCTCCCGCCATTTCTCCATCCCCTCTCCCTCCCCTCCACCCCCCGCACCCCTCCCAACTTCCCCCTCCGCCCGTCCCCCCCACAGGTGGGCGAGGGCGGGAGGGGCTTCGCCTGGCCGCCCAGAACCCCCGCTGCAGCAGCCGTGGTGCGGCGGCAGTCGCTCGCACCAATCACAGCGCTCGAACTTGCTGAGCTGGCAAGACTGGCGATTGGACGGGAGGAGGGCGAGGGGGAGGAGGGGGAGGAGGAATCAGGAAGGGAAGGAGGGGCGGCCTTGGTGGGAGGGGAGGAGGAGGAAGAGGAAGACGAGGAGGAGGAGGATGGGGAGGACGAGTTTAGCAAAGAGGTGAGCTGTGTGGGATGGAGGGGTGGAGGGAAGGGTGGAGGAGGGGATGTAGGGGAGAGAAGATGGGGTGAGGGCTGGGAGGGATGGGACACGAGGGTGGCAGGGCGATGGAGAGGGGAGAAGGGAGGAAAATGCAATGAGGGAGGGAAGCGCGAGAGAGGGTGCAAGGCACGTGCAATGCATGCGCACTGGGGGTTGGTGGATGCTTGTAGGATGGATGATGACAGCATGTGGTGTCATGGGCATGTGGTGCCATGGGCATGTGGTGCCATGGGCATGTGATGCCATGGGCATGTGGTGCCATGGGCATGTGGTGTCATGGGCATGTGGTGCCATGGGCATGTGGTGCCATGGGCATGTGGTGCCATGGGCATGTGGTGCCATGGGCATGTGGTGCCATGGACCTGACGCTTAGCCTGTGGCATGTTTGCCTTTTTTTAAATATATATCCATGAGTGTCTTTATGGTGCATGGATGCATTGCATCGCATGGCATGGCATGGCATGGCATGGCATGGCATGGCATGGCACGGCACTGCATGTCACCTCATGGCATGGCATGGCATGGCATGGCACTGCATGTCACCTCATGGCATGGCATGGCATGGCATGGCATGGCATGGCATGGCATGGCATGGCAGGTGGAGGAGATGTTCAAGCGGGCCGTGGCGGAGGGGGTGGCGCAAGACAATGTGGTGCTGGAAGTCAACGCGCTCAAGTGAGTGGTCAACGCGCTCAAGTGAGTGGTCAACGCGCTCAAGTGAGTGGTCAACGCGCTCAAGTGAGTGGTCAACGCGCTCAAGTGAGTGGTCAACGCGCTCAAGTGAGTGGTCAACGCGCTCAAGTGAGTGGTCAACGCGCTCAAGTGAGTGGTCAACGCGCTCAAGTGAGTGGTCAACGCGCTCAAGTGAGTGGTCAACGCGCTCAAGTGAGTGGTCAACGCGCTCAAGTGAGTGGTCAACGCGCTCAAGTGAGTGGTCAACGCGCTCAAGTGAGTGGTCAACGCGCTCAAGTGAGTGGTCAACGCGCTCAAGTGAGTGGTCAACGCGCTCAAGTGAGTGGTCAACGCGCTCAAGTGAGTCAGTGTGGTCAACCTGAGTCAACGTGGTCAAAGTGGGTCATTGCGGTCAACTCAAGTCAACGCCCTCAAGTGAGTCAATGCTACGTCCGTCTCAGCTTCCTTATCCCTGCCCACGCAGAGCGCAGCTTCCACGCTCCGCTCCACGCGCATCCCTTTCCACACACCCTCTTATCATATCCTTCCCTCCTTCCCTTTCCCCCACCCTCCCTCCCACTCGCCTCCATCTCGCCTGTCGCCAACGCATGCCAGGCTGGCATACAACCGGTCCTTTGCGGACTGTGCGGGGGCCATGTTCCGAGGCATGCTCAACCTCGCCGCCTCACAAGCCGCCCCCGGGGCACCCACCAGTGAGTGCATGCACCTCGGCTGACCAGCGCCATCTGTTATTCCACCCGTCCACACCCATTTGCCTCGCACACCACCCTATGCCACCCACCTGCGAGCTCAGCTGCCTGACTGGTCTCCCGTTGGCTGCCACAACTTTACAGAGTACCACCCTCAACTCAACTCTGGGGCTCTTTACCAAATTTCCCCATCTGCCCATCCCGCCCAGGGGCGCCCACCTCTCAGCCCCAACTGCTGGATTTTGTTTAGAATACTCTAAAGAACCCTGCAAATCCTTGGTTCCCACCCCGGCCCTGCTCTATCACTCCTTGTCTGCTCACCCTGTTCCCCCACCCTGCCCCCCTCTCTGCCCGCCCGCCATCCCTCCCCCCCCGGCCCCCGCCCTGCCCTCATCCGTCCTGCCCCCGCCGTGCCCTCATCCGCCCTGCCCTCATCCGCCCTGCCCCCGTCCGCCCCGCTCAGAGGAGCTGCTGGCGTCCACACGTGCCGTGGTGACTCGGTGGACGTCGCTTCTGAGAAGGTTCCTCAAGGGCACGGACGACGAGGTGCGTGGCAGAAGGGGGATGGGGACGAGTTCAGGGAAGAGGGAGAGGAGAGGGGGTGAGAAATCTGGTGGGGGAGGGGATGACGGAGGGCATGGGGGTGGGGGAGCTTGAGGGGGCGGGGGGTCGTTGGCGGCTAGGGGGTAGGTGGAAGGTGGGCAGGGAAAAGAGGGAGAAGCACCGCCATTCCAAAAAGGTTTTCAATGCCACTTCCTGTACCCATTTCTTGCCCATCCTCTCTACCCTTCCCTGCCCCTTCCCATCTCTGCCATTCCCCACTTCTTGCTCTCACCGCCAACCCTTGTTGGGATTAGGCTGCACTTTGTGTGTTAGCCTTGAAAGTTGTAGGGTTTACAAATTTTAGTAAGTTTAGTTTTGGTTGGGTTGGGTGTAGACTTTTTCATCCCCAATCTATCCAACCCTATCCAAACCAAACCATTCAAATTCTCCTGGGATTCCTTTCTGATTGCATCTTATCCACCCAACCCCTCCTAGTTTCTGGTACTTAAGGTCATGTATGAGACTCTCCAATCAATCGAACCAACCCTTTCCTGACACCCCTCACGCCTTCCCCCTCTCACCCAATTTTTTCTCCCTCTCGCTGTCACCACTCCACCTTCCCCCCTTTCGCGCCCTTCCTTTCATCCCCCTTTCACCATCTCCCCCCCTCTTCCTCCCCGCTCCTCCTCGGGCAGGTGGAGGTGCTGCTGACATTCGAGGAGGTGTGCAACGAGTCCCGCCCCGAGTTCGCGCCCATATTTGTCAATGTGAGTGCTGCCAAAAAGTGCCGCCAACAAGTGCCATTCAGAAGTATCTTTTGCGGTGGCCTGTGTGAGAATCCTGGCAGCCACTGGGTTTTCCATCCGCCTCTTGCTTCTGTGCCTTCCTGCTGGCACCTCCACCGTCCTCTCGCTCATTCATCATCCCTCAGTCCGCTCTCCCATGTATGGCCCGCCTCTTCCCACGTATGCTCCACCCGCCTCTCCTTTCACTGTGTTTCGCTAAACCCTCGTTCCGCTCTCTCCCCAGGTCCTCGAAACGCTGTACGACAGGGACATGGCGAGCGAGGAGGCCGCCATGCCACAACACCCTCTCCTCAATTTTCTCCGCCCCCTTCCCTCTCCTCCTCACTCCCACCCCCAGGTAGAGGCGCTGTATGACAGGGACATATCATGCGAGGAGGCGGTCATGGGTCATGGCCGTTCCTCCCATTCCCCCCATGTCTCTCCCGCTCCTTGGCTCTATTCCGTCCCCCTCAGGTGCTCGAAGCCCTGTACGACCGGGACATAGGGAGTGCGGAGGCCGTCATGGCGCCACACTCCCCCCAATTCTCCCCCCTCCACTTTTGCTGCTTCCCCCGCTGCTCACTCCCTCGCAGGTGCTAGAGGCGCTGTACGACAGGGACATAGTGAGCGAGGAGGCCGTCATGGCGTGGGCCGATGAGAAGCAGTTCGCCGACGCCGCTGACAAGGTGTTTGTCGAGCGATCCGCCGCGTTCATCAAGGTGAGATGAACGGTGCAAATCGAATCCTGCTGTGGTGTGGGCGAAACCCTCCCCCGTTTGTGGCACTGCTGCATGTGGGACTGGGGCAGTTGAGTGTGTGTGTGGGACTGGGGCAGTGTGAATGTGTGTGTGGGACTGGGGCAGTGTGAGTGTGTGTGTGGGACTGGGGCAGTGTGAGAGTGTGTGTGGGACTGGGGCAGTGTGAGTGTGGGTGGGACTGGGGCAGTGTGAGTGTGGGTGGGACTGGGGCAGTGTGAGTGTGTGTGTGGGACTGGGGCAGTGTGAGTGTGTGTGTGGGACTGGTGCAGTGTGAGTGTGTGTGTGGGACTGGGGCAGTGTGAGTGTGTGTGTGGGACTGGACTGGGGCAGTGTGAGTGTGGGTGGGACTGGGGCAGTGTGAGTGTGTGTGTGGGACTGGGGCAGTGTGAGTGTGTGTGGGACTGGGGCAGTGTGAGTGTGTGTGGGACTGGGGCAGTGTGAGTGTGTGTGTGGGACTGGGGCAGTGTGAGTGTGTGTGTGGGACTCGGGCAGTGTGAGTGTGGGTGGGACTGGGGCAGTGTGAGTGTGTGTGTGGGACTGGGGCAGTGTGAGTGTGTGTGTGGGACTGGGCAGTGTGAGTGTGTGTGTGGGACTCGGGCAGTGTGAGTGTGGGTGGGACTGGGGCAGTGTGAGTGTGTGTGTGGGACTGGGGCAGTGTGAGTGTGTGTGTGGGACTGGTGCAGTGTGAGTGTGTGTGTGGGACTGGGGCAGTGTGAGTGTGTGTGTGGGACTCGGGCAGGGTGAGTGTGGGTGGGACTGGGGCAGTGTGAGTGAGTGAGTGTGTGTGGTGCTGGCAGCACGGGTACCATGAAGCGTTGAAGATTCCATGCTTCACAGGAAGGGCGATGGTTCTCGTTAATCTTGCCAGCCCCCCTCTTGTGCTGCCCCTACTCTGCCCTGTTGTGCTGCCCCTACTCTGCCCTGTTGTGCTGCCCCTACTCTGCCCTGTTGTGCTGCCCCTATTCTGCCCTGTTGTGCTGCCCCTACTCTGCCCTGTTGTGCTGCCCCTACTCTGCCCTGTTGTGCTGCCCCTACTCTGCCCTTCGCCTGCCCTCCCCCCCCCCTTTCACTGCACTCTTCCACTCCATCTCTCCCTGGCCCCATGTCCCGTGTTCTTCATCCCTATCTCACTCTTGGCTCATTCGCCCTTGCCGCTAGCCGTCCTCGTGCCACCACTCCAGTTCACCCCGACCCCCACTGTGCTTGTCCTAACTTCCTTGCTCCCCTCTGCTGCTCTTCACCCGCTGCTGCTTTTCACCCGCTGCTGCTCTTCACCCGCTGCTGCTCCTCCCTCTGCTCTCTGCTCTGCCCTCTCTGCTGCTCTGCCTTCTAATGCTTCACCGTCCCTTCTGCTGCCTGTCTGGCCTCCACAGTGGCTGAAGGAAGCCGAGGAGGAGGAGAGTGATGATGAGTGAATGTCCGCCTTCACAAGCAGCGCAGTCACACAACCATCAGGGAACATAGGATAGGAGGGAGCACAGTGGCTTGCACGACAGTTGAGGTTAAGTGATCCAAGGCACAATACATGCACAATATATTGAGCATGGATTGATGTGCAAGGGTGTCACATCATGTGATGATGTGACCATATTGTCAATGTGAAAGCAACTTGAGATGAAGTGGATATGGTGGTGTGTCTCCATGTTCAGACGTCACCTGGATTCAAACTGTGTTCCCCCAAAAAACGTTCTGACACAGTAAAACTTGCCAGAGTATGTTACAGGTAGTTTCTCAAACTGATATGGTACCGTCACCCCCCGGATATACCCCCATGGGGGGCTATAATATAACATGTTTTTTTGAGGGGGTGGGCTTATAATATAGTAAATTTATAAGCGCCGGCGTATATAATTTGTCAAAATTGAATTTTGTTTTTAAATATACCAAATCGAAGCATTCTCAAAGGCGGATTCACCTGGGTCGAGAACGTTCGAAACTGTGCATGCATTGCGCGTGAAACGGCCAACAAGGCGTGGCTTCACGCCTTCCACGCCTTGTTGGCCAGGCCAGGTTCATCGAACGTGAACCTGGCCCATGCCAGTGCACACGTACCTCGCATCACAGCGGCCCAATCAGGGTTGCATGCGATCGTGGGCACGTCGTGGTTCAGCCACGGTGTGCCCATCAACAGCAAAATTCCCCGCCACCGAGGCAAGGAGCTGCCCAGCTCAGCTCCTCTGCGGGGAATCTTGACTGGGGCCACCCTTTTCCCGCAGAGGAGGCCGGGCCGCGAAAATGAAGGGGTCTCGGGCGAGGGCTTCATACAACCCTCATTCTCGACTTTTGCCTTCAGTTTCTTTGTTCGTTTGGCCTGCCGTGGCCATGGCGGGCCTTCCACGCACGCATTTCTTGTTCCGCCGCCATCCTGCTGCCAGAGAAAACACCCGCCGAGACACCTGTGACTACTCTCAATGGCAGTCGCGCCCTGCGCCCGTCCCTCCGTGTCAACCAGTAGCTCCTCCCGTTCCTCCCACTCCTCCAACTCCTCCTGCACCTCCCGCTCCCCCGGCGCCTCCGGTTCCTCCAGCTCCTCCGTCCCCTCCTGACCCGCCTGTGTTTGGTGCTCCACGTCAGGGGGTCCTGCAGCTTCTCCTCCCTCCTGGCTACTCGGCGTTTGACGCGTACCTGTCCGAGCCCGACCGCGCCGGTGGCGCATCGTCTTCCTCCGCACCGTCGCCACGCTGGGGAGCCCCGGCTGATTGCCCGTTGGACGAATCCGCGGCTGGTGCGGAGGATGACGTGGAGTTTTGGGCTGCCGGCGGTCTTCCAGAGCACCTGCCTATTCCCACCTTCCCCCCCCCCAATAAGAAACGACCCCACCCTTCTCGCGAGAATCGCGATGCCCGTCCTCCCTCCCCCAGGCACAAGCCTTCAAGTCACAAGCGGCACTCTTACACATCGCAGGAGAAACTGCAGTGGATTCTCAAGCTTGAGTCCGGGCACATGAGCGTGCGGCAGATGTCTCGCCAAACCGGCATCTCCCGAAGGTCACTCGCAGAATGGAAGACCCGGAAGGCTGACCTGGAGGGCGCGCATGCTGCTCGCAAGCGTCTTCATGGGCGCGGAAGGAGCTCGTGGTATCGCGACATGGAAGCTGAAGTCTACAGGAGGTTTCTTGCCCACCGTAAAAAATGTCTCGCGGTCTCGATCGCTCGCCTACAGAAGTGGTCGCATGAGGTGATGAAAGAATTGCACCCACAGGTAAAGTGGTCCGGCTCGCAGCGGTGGACTGAGCGGTTTCGCCGCCGTTGGAATCTGACAACCCGAGCGAAGACCAGGGTCGGCCAGAAGCTTGCTGCCAGTGAGTTTGTGGGAAATGGTTGCAGTTTAATGTGTACTGCTTTGTGTTGTTTGTCTCTTTATGTTTCACGGTTGAATTTCAACGCGTCATTAATACTGTCTTCTCTCTTTCCCTCCCACCCGTACTCCCAGACTGCGAGACTGACGTCAGGAATTTCTGGAAGTTCGTGCGTCACACCCGCCGCCAATACAAGATTGACCCGCAGTGGATAATAAACGCGGACCAGACACCACTGTGGCTCGAGATGCCTGCCGAACGCACAGTCGAGGAGGTGGGTCTGCGCTCTGTGCCTATCCGCAGCGGCGGCTATCAGAAGGAGCGAGTTACGGTGATGCTCGCCTGCACTGCCAGCGGTGAGAAGCTGAAGCCGTGGGTCTTCTTCAAACGGAAGACCCTGCCTAAAGGGGATTTCCCTTCAGGTGAGCATTAACACCCACTGCTGCATGTTTTTTTTTTTCAATGTCTACTGATGTTGTATGTGCGTTTGTGGCTGTGCAGATGTTACGGTGTCCGTCCATCCCAACGGTTGGATGGACGCGGACGGAGTCATTGAGTGGCTCGACGGGGCAGTGAAGCCGTTCGTCCACACCAAGTTTGGAGTGAGGCCCCGCAAAGCGATGCTCGTCTTGGATTCGTACCGCGGGCACCTGACTGCGGAGGTGAAGAAGAAGTTCGGGGAGCTGAACATCGTCCCTGCCGTTATCCCAGCTGGCTGCACCTCGGAGATTCAACCTCTGGACGTCGCGGTGAATCGCTCCTTCAAGGCATCCGTTCGACAGCTCTACCAGGAGTGGTTCGAGAGCGAGGGGGTCGACACCTTGACAAAGAAAGGTGAGAGAGGCAGGCCATGCCTGTGCTGCTTTATCAGTTTGTAGCGGTGGCTGACTTTTGATTGTTTAAATTTTATGGCAGGCAACATCAAGAAGCCACCACCCGAGCTAACGCTCAAGTGGATATCAGCGGCTTGGAAGGCCGTGCCCAGGGACTTGATTCAACGGGCTTTCCTCACCTGTGGCATTAGTAACGCCCTGGATGGGTCCCAGGACAAGATCTGCCTGCAACACAGGCGCGACCAGCTTGAGGGCGACGAAATAGACATCGACGACGACATTGCAGCAGATGGCTTTTTCTGCAACAACGTAGAAGAACCAGAGTCGGACTCTGAGGTCGACCCGGATGATCCTACCGCAGCTGATGACTAGATTACGTAGATCTAGAAATTGCTGTAGCCTGTGAGACTCGTAGGTAGATTTAGAACTGTAATTAGAAAAAACTGTAGATAAACTGACTTTGTATTTAATTAGATGAAAATATGAGTTGTTAATGTGGTTAGTGAAGTTTGTAGAAAAAAAATATTTAAAAAAGTGGCGGTTATAATGTGTAAGGTACAGGTATGCGGTTATAATCCGTACGACTCTAGGGTATGCGCTTATAATCGAGGAGGGGATATAAGCGCCATATGCCAATTAGAAGCGCCAGGCGCTTATCCTAGGGTGGCGCTTATATCCGGGGGGTGACGGTACCTGTACCGTAGATTTAAACCAGAAAATGAGAGCTCGGTCGGAAGTTACCGTAATATACTTGCCGAGTGCAACAAGAACTCACATAGCCAAGGAGTTTTGAGGGCTATTGCATGGTACAGGGTTCATCAAGCCGGTCTGGCGTAACTACCAGCCTATGGCAGAGAAAAAGGGAGGAAGATGAGTGTGTTTCGCAGATGCGCCTTACTTGAATTGAATCACTTCATTCGATTGAACTACGGTAGTTACTGGTATAGCTACTGGTAGTGTTACCATAGCGGCTGCCATCATCCTAGGCATACAGAGAGACAACAACAAGACCCAACCTCCACATCTCATACCTACGCTAAGTCAATGCTGCTACCTCAACTACGGTGCTAGTTAGTACGACTCTACACCTGTGCTGCAGAATGAAGGAACAATACTTGGGGATGCAGGCCAGGCCGCATTTCTCCTGTTCCTCCAGCTGGTGCAATCATCCACCAATTCACAGGATTTGGCATATGATGTGCTCCTTCAGCATGGGCGGCCCGTGTCTCTTCAGCTGCATGGAAACCCGCTCGCCAAGCAGAAACATGCCTGAGCGTGAGAGCACCGACAAGGGCCCATTATTCCTATGGTCTGGACAGCGCCTTTGTCCTTTACAATCCCTGCAGGGATGTAACGCTTCTCCTACAGTGAAGCATGGCCTGTCTTTCCTTGAGTGGCTTCATGTTCGTATCTGGTAAATACAGCTCCATGGGTGTGTGTCTGCTACGCTGATTCCACTGCCGTGTCACCCATGACCCCTATGACCCCTAAGAAGATACAGGTGTGGGCCTTAAGAAGATTCCACGGGGGTGTCGCGGGGCAGCGTGTTCCAGTTCGTTGAGCAGTTCCGCCCCTTCCACTCAAAACCCCGCTCCTCCAACCCCTCCCGGGCAGCCACGGGCAGCGCCGAAAAGAAGTCCCAGTCAGCCGCGAGCTGCTTGAGCACGGGCAGCTTGTTCCCGAGCCCCGGGCAGCAGTTGGCGTGCACGGTGAGCAGCGAGGAGAGCGAGTGGCCCATCTCACAGAAGCCCCCGAACTGGTTGCTGTGCAGGTAGCGCAGCAGCAGCCGCGAGCCCACGCGCGTGAACGGGTTGGCCTCGGGGCGGATCCAGTTGAACACCTGCTGTATGCGGAACTGTGGGCACCTGGGGGGTGGAAGAAGAGTAGGGGGGGGGGGGGGGGGGGGGGGGGTAGGCAAACGAAGAATGATGCAACATCACATTGATAATCCCGCACAGGGTGGGTCCAGTTGAACACCTGCTGTATGCGGAACTGCGGGCACCTGGGGGGTGGAAGGAGAGTGGGAGGGGGGGGGGGGGGGGGGGTAGGCACACGAAGAATGATGCAACATCACATTGATAATCACGCACAGGGTGGGTCCAGTTGAACACCTGCTGTATGCGGAACTGCGGGCACCTGGGGGGTGGAAGGAGAGTGGGAGGGGGGGGGGGGGGGGGGGGGGGGGTAGGCACACGAAGAATGATGCAACATCACATTGATAATCATGCACAGGGTGGGTCCAGTTGAACACCTGCTGTATGCGGAACTGCGGGCACCTGGAGGGGGACAGGGGCGGGTGAGGGTGTCGCGCCAAGATAAGGTGGGATTGTGTACAAAAGCACTTGCAAGCAGATCAATGCACCTGCGGCACCCATACCAGCGCCCCTGCACACAGCCACTCCGCCAGCCAGTCCTGGAAGAACCACAGCATACGGCTGTTAACCCGGGCGGCATACAATTCCCCATTACCCACGACAGACTCAAGCCATTCCAACACCTACCTTTCCCTTCCTCTGCTCACCTCCTGTGCCATGCGAGCCAGTCTTGAAAGAAGCGCAGAGTGCGCGTGTTGGCCCGGGCGGCATAGAACCCGCCGTTGGCCACCACGGAGCGCGGGTTGGGCGACCACCAGTCAGCCGACATCTGCAGGTCGTGTGGGCGGCGCCAGAGCAGCGGCAGCGGGTTGCGCAGCCAGAGGATGTCGGAGTCCGTGAAGAGCACGTCGTAGCCCAGCGCCAGCATGCTTGTCACCACCGCCACCTTGCGCCACACCTGTTGGTTAGGGCAGCAGGAGAGGAATAAGGTTTGTGAGAGGGATGTGAAGCATGGGTAAAGGGCAGGCAAAGCCGGGGGAGTGGGCTGCGCAGGCAGAGGATGTCGGAGAAGGTGAAAGGCACGTGGTAGCCCAGCGACAGCATGCTCGCCACCACCGCCACCTTGCACCACACCTTTACGGCAGTGGCAATGGCGAATCCGAGATGCAACAGCACAAGGGGAGGACGGTGTGTGTGAGAGATTCGAGGCATGGGTGATGGGGACGGGCAGAGGATGTGGGAGTTGGTGAAGAGCGCGTGGTAGCCCAGCCCAGCATGCTCGCCTCCACTGCCACCTTGCTTGCACCACACCTGCCGGATAAGGCAGCAGGAGAGAAATAAGGGGTGTGAGAGGGATGTGAAGCATGGGTAAAGGGTAGGCACAGCAGGGGGAGTGGGTTGCGCAGGCAGAGGAAGGTGAAGAGCACGTGGTAGCCCAGCATGCTCGCCACCACCGCCACCTTGCTTGCGCCACACGTGTTGGGTGGGACAGCAGAAGGCGACGTGTGTGCGAGTGAGAGGGAGATCAAGAGTGTCATTCGCGAGCTACCATGCTTGCTACCACCTGCCTGCCGCTTGCGCCATTCCTGTGAGTGGGAATGGCACGGCCGGATGGCAACGTACAGGAGGAGCCAGCCAGCGCGCTGGTATGAGGAATCTGACGTGTGACAGACGAGCAGGAAAGGGTGAGTTTGGCCCGAGGAGCCCACAGCGTGACAGGGAAGGGGTTGATAAGCCTGCTGCTAAGATAAGCCCTTCACAACTCCCCAGCCCTCCGCCCTCCGTCACCAACGCTGGTGCAGCTGGAAAGTGTGAGTGGGTAGTGCAAGGGTGCGGAGTGTCATGTGTGAGAGCCGTCCCGTTCAGGAGTATTCCACGCCACTCTGCCACATGCACGCCTGCCACTGTACCAACTCAAATATTCATACGCACCACGAAATTGAGATCCCACGCACCAGGTGTATATAAGCGCGCGTCATGAAGTGTTTCTGTCCGCCGCCCAGGTCCTCTCTGTGAGGAGCGTCCTCCTGCCAGTCCATGTAGCAGTTGAGCCCCATCGCGCAGCACGCCTCGAAGCTCGCGTCGTCGTACGCCACCACCACCAGCCGCGCCACCAGCTCACCCAGCGCAGAGCTATACGCGCCCTCTTCCGCCCCCGCCTCCCCCTCCCCGTCTCCATCTCCCGCGGTCTGATACCTCTCCGCTGTCCTCCGCTCGCTTTCCCTCTCCATCCCTTCAACCCCTGCGCGCGTCCGGATATTAACTCCGCCCCTCCCCTCCTCTCCTCCCCTTCGCTCCCCCTCCGCCTTCCTCTGCTCGCGCGCGCTCCGCTCCGCGCGCTCGACGGCGCGCAGGCGCGCGAGGAAGAAGCGCATCATGGGCGCCCACGCCTCGTTGAACGACACCACGATCACGGACCGCCGCGCGGCGCGCGCCAGCAGCTGCGCGGGCGACGCCGACTCCGCGTCCTCCGCGAACTCCCCGCCCGCCGCCGCCATGTCGTCGGCGATGGTCATGCCGCCCCCGCCGCCTGCAGAAGCGCCGTTGGTGGCGGCAGCAGCGCTAATAGCGGACTGCACGGCCGCCTTGAGGACGGACTGGAGCGTTCTGATGTGCCCGTGCGGTCGAGCGGATGAAAGAATGTGAGGATGGGGGCGTGCGGGGATGCGGGGATGCGGGGAGGCGGGGATATGAGATTGCGGGGATGTGGGGATGATGGGATGTACGCGACCGAAGGCGGTGAAGACGGGGCAACAGACAAAAGATTTCAACCATGACTAAAATGTGTGGCAAGCGAAAAAAGGTGTCACATCCCTGCGAAACCGGAAAGCGTGTCTTTGTTCTATATGATGTGCGTGTGTCGCATGCGCACGTGCGTCCGTACACGTGTGACTCACCTGCACTTTGAGCAGATCGGGGCCTTCCCTTGTTGCCGTTCTCCCATCCCCCCAACGGCGTCCATCGCTCTGCTCGATGGCGCACCCCTCGGGGAGTTTCCCCGGAGCCGCGCAGGCCCGTCGGCGCTGCTCCCCTCCGACCACCCACGAAGCACCGACTCCGGAGCTTCTCCGCGCGAGGCGCTCCGCGCAGCGGGCGGGGACGCGCAATACTCCTCGCGGGTGAGCGGAGGCAGCGGCGCGGGGGTGGCGCGGGAGGAGGCGGCGGAGGTGGCGGAGCGGACGCGCAGGTGGAGGCGATTAAAGCCGGAGAAGAAAAAGAGGCACGTGAGAGACGACGCGATCAGCAGCCATGCGAATAGCGACTGGCGGCCCTTTAGCGACGCGATTGGGAAGAGCGAAACAGTGCAGAGGACGAAGGCTAGCGGGGGATTCGCCGAGGCCGAGGGTGACAGTAGCGGGTGTTCTATTCTGTGCAGGAGATGCCTATGCGGGTTCGCCGCGCCTGTGAAGGAGTGCGATCGGTGCATTCGCGATCGCGAAACGGCGCTGTTTCCGCCGTACGGCGTGCCACTGCTGCCGTGATCGGGATGCACTGCGTGGCTGGGAGTGGAGCACTCCATCGCGAGGACGATGCGGGTTTTAAAGTATTGCCAGTATTAACCAAAACTATAGCACCTCATTCGCTGGAACGACTGGACTGGTCACTGAGATCTTAACCTAATTTTACCTCAAAGTCCTTCAGCGAAAATGCGTCGGAAGCAGAAGCAGAAAAAACAAATCAACACAAGCTGGAATTGTGAGCCAAAAGCTTGGATTTGGATCTCACTTCAGTATATTGGATTCAGCTGACTGCCTGCTGCAGTTGCAAGTCCCCAAACAGATGTTCGGGACCTGCCATGCCACCCAGTCCGAGTCGCAGTCGCTTTCCCATTAGAAATGCGATTTGGCTAAAAAATTCATGGTCAGATATGTCAGGCGCGCTCTGGGAAATAGTGTAACAGTTGTGCAACAATCTGGTTCCTACAGTTTGAATGTGTTATTCTTGCTTTGTGTCATTCCTCTTACCTCATATGATAGTAGTTCATCCAATCCAACCTAACGACTATTCAACCCGTTACCACCCTTGATTATTTTCCCTTCCACTGATACTGGACGGACTATTCCACACGCCACGTTGGGTAAACCACGGCCCAACTATACGCCTCGACTTTCTGGAAAAATCTTTATACAGATAAGAACTACAACAAACACTACAACAAACACTACAACATAACACAACCAGCACAGCAGTACTCATGCAAGTTACGTTCCTACCTCGTGCCAACCACCGCACACAGGCCTTGATGCGGCCAATGACACGTGTTGACTTGGTACGGGGTAGGAACGCACCCTCAAGCACGACAATGTGCTACCCTAACCTGCCCAACATCTGGAAGACATGCAGTGCCATCCACGAGTCTACGGCAACAGCTGGCATGCAGTGGTGAGCGCCCCAAGGAGCGCAAAGCAGGCAGCCCCAGTGGCAAGCGACGGTGGTTGGTGGTCATGCGGGTGGGTGACACGATACAAGTGGGGTCATACTGCCTGCACTGCTGCCAGGGATGAGTAGTCGTATTGCTCTGGCATGGGGAGATGGGGTGGGGAGGTTTGGGGAGGAGAAGGATCGAAGATGATACGATTCCAAGTAAGAGGAGGAGAGGAGAGGAAAGGAGAGAAGAGGAGGGGAGAGGAGAAGATAACGAAGAAAGAGTGGAGCACCAGAGAAGATAGGGGATAAGGAGCGGGGCAAATTAGGTAGCAGGTGGGTGAAGGCACCATCTGCATATGCCCCACTGCCTACTCGCTGCCACTTGCTGCAGTGCCACTGACACGCCCACTGCCATGCCCGCTGCCATGCCGACTCACTGCCTGCTTGCTTTACTACATCCGACAGGCTCCAGACTGCCTAACAGGCACTCACTGGAGGCCTTGGTGCAGGAGGCAGAGGCGAGGGTGCCCCAGTCAGAGGAGGAGACGCAGCCCCTGAGGCAGGCGACGGTGTAGGGCGCGGTGGTGCTGGCGTGGTAGTGGTAGAACACAGGCTCGCCACTGCTGCCGTCGCCCACGTGCCCCCCACACTCGTCCACCCCTGCCGGCAGCGCTCCCCCCGCTCCCCGCGGGCCGAACAGCGGAATGCCGTCCGCCAGGAATCCCAGCAAGGGGGAGTGTTGGGTGGGGGCGTCCTGCCAGAAGGACGCGCTGCCAGGGGGGAGGGGGAGGGGGAGGGGGAGGGGGAGGGGGAGGGGGAGGGGGAGGGGGAGGGTGGGAGGCAGGGCGGAGAGAAGGGGCGGATGGACGGGTTGGGATGCGAGGCATGCTACAAGGTAGGTAAATGGCATGAGGCAGCACATGGTACCTGGCAGCACATGGTACCTGGCAGCACATGGTACCTGGCAGCATGGTACCTGGCAGCACATGGTACCTGGCAGCACATGGTACTCGCACTTGCAGCATGGTTGGCTTCGAAAGGAGCTCAGGTTGCAAGGAATTAAGGGGAAGAAGGGAACGCACTTGCAGAGGTTGAAGGCGGTGGAGCGAGAGGAGGAGATGGCAGAGGGGTTGGCGACGCCGGGAGCGACGTGGTAGTGGTACTGGCCCGAGGGCGTGGGGTGCCCCCCACACGCATCAAACGTGGCGCCCTCGTACTGCAAGGCGTCCCGACCCAGGGCGTCACACGCACTGCCAGGGGGAGAGGGAGAGGGAGAGACAGGTATGGGACATGAGGGCGTGAGGTGTGCAGGGAGAGTGAGGGCAGCAGCGAGGAGGACGAGAGGTGGAAGGTGCAGCCGCAAGGGCAGGAGCAGGCAAGCAGCAGAGCAGAATGGGGGTGGCACAGTGGGAAACGAGATGCTGTAGGGAATCATATTCGGACAGGCCAAACCCCAAGTCCTTGTCACGCCGGTTCCCCCCTCCTGCCCCTAACCTCTCCCCCCACCATACCGTGACCCCGCTGATCCATCTTCCATGCTGCCCCCACAGCATTCCAACCCCCCTACTGCCCCGTCCCCCTCGTCACCTGTAGAAGGGCACGCCATTGAGGGCAAAGCCGATGGGGCCCATCTTGCAGACACCGTTGAGGGCGACGGGGATGGCGGAGGAGGCGAGCGTAGGGGCGAGCGGCACGGCGAAAGACAGCGCCTGCTGCTCTGGCGAGTACAGCGTGGCCTGCACCCGCCATGCGTACCCCGGACACCCGTTGCTCGCCATCACCCTGCCATCATACGGCAGGGGGAACAGAGCAAGGGGATACAGGGCAGGGGGGGCAGCGCAGGGGGGACAGGGCAGGGCGAACAAGGCAGGAGAGCTAGGGTGAGGGAAAGGAGGAAGGGGAGGGCAGAAGAACAGACATGAGCGGACGAAATGGCTTGAGCGGGCGTGCAGAGTGGCAGAGAAGAGGGGCGCACCTCTTGCCATTGCTGCTCGTGAGCTTGGCGCTCCTGCTGCTGCTGCTGTTGCCACACGCACTCCCACCCGATGACCCACTGCCACCCCCCATGCCTCCTCCGCTGCCCATGCCTCCGCTGCCCGTGCCTCCGCCGCCCATGCCTCCGCCGCCCATGCCTCCTCCGCCGCCCATTCCCCCTCCGCCCATGCTACCTCCGCCTATGCCTCCCGCGCCCATGCCTCCCCCGCCCATATTTCCTCCGCCCATGCCTCCTCCGCCCATGCTTCCGCCGCCCATGCCTCCCCCGCCCATGTATCCTCCGCCCATGCTTCCTCCGCCCATGCCTCCTCCGCCCATGCCTCCTCCGCCCATGTATCCTCCGCCCATGTTTCCTCCGCCCATGCCTCCTCCCCCGCCCATCCCCCCTCCGCCCATGCTTCCTCCGCCTATGCCTCCCCCGCCCATATTTCCTCCGCCCATGCCTCCTCCGCCCATGCTTCCGCCGCCCATGCCTCCTCCGCCCATGCTTCCTCCGCCCATGCCTCCTCCGCCTATGCCTCCCCCGCCCATGTTTCCTCCGCCCATGCTTCCTCCGCCCATGCCTCCTCCGCCCATTCTTCCTCCGCCCATGCCTCCTCCGACGCCCATGTTTCCTCCGCCCATGCTCCCCCCGCCCATGCCGCCTCCACCCATACCTCCCCCACCCATCCCCCCTCCGCCCGCATTACCTGGTTGCCCGCTCATCCCGCCACCTCCTTGCGAGCCAAACCCGCCCTGCCCGCCGCTTGACGCGCCACTTCCGCCTCCGCCGCTGGTCTGGGGGGGGCGGAAGAAGGACCAGCTACCGCCTGTTCCCGATTCCCCCACCAAGCCGCCAAACCTTCCCGCGAAACGCGGAAGGCCGAGCGAGCGCGCGCTGCACGCGGCGTGATGGACACCCGCGAAGCAAAGGAGCGCGACGAGCGCGAGGGCGGGGACGACGCGGGACGACGCGAGGCGAGGCGACATCATGGCAGGCGGCGCGGAACGCTAAGAATCGCGCGTATCTAGAAAAAAATCTGTGGAGTGTAGATCGAACCTCGTTTCAACGTCAAGTTGAATGCACGGCGAATGCAAAGGAGGGAGGCGAATGCAAGAAGGCTGAGAGGCAGCGCTGAGGAATGCTCCCAGCGAGGTGGCTATTTGTACTTCCCCTGCCATCGCCGCCGCTGCCATGAGCCCAAGGCACTCGACTCGATCTGCGCGCATTATGTGAACTGATGTGCTGGTTGACTGGGGCAACGAGCAGGAGGATCTGGGAGTCAACGCAAACCCAGTCAACGTTGAAAGGATGGGGAGCTGAACTGTTGACTGACGCTTGGGCGAAAGTGGGCGAGAGGGTGAGTGTTACGAAGGAGAGTGTGCAGAATGCAATAACGAGGAAGTGATTACAACTAGTGAGTGACTAATGAAGCCTAGCTCACATATAGCCAAGGCTAGCTAGGCCGAAGTCGCGGGATCCTGGATGGTTGGGTGTAGGTTCAGGGTTTGGGAGACCCGAAGGCGACGCGAGGGACGTTCGGAGGGCGAGGTCATCGTACCAAGCCTGGAGCTCCGAAAGTTGGAATTGTACATGCATCAAGTGCCTCAGTTTCCCCGGAATTAGGGGAATTTAGGGTAAGAAATTAGGGGAGAATCCTTACACTATCCCCTCCCCTCCCTTCCTTTTAAGAAAGGTGGTCAACATCAGGCACGCGACGGCGGGAAAGGTAGTCCCGTAAAACTGAGTGGCCGTGTAGTGAGTCGGTCATGACCCACGTATCATCTTCACTCGTGCGATCAACCCATCACAGCAGGGAATCAATGTGGTGTCTTATCGATGTCACACGCACGCGATGATTCAAAATCTTCTAGGGCTGAAGTGTCGAGTCTGCCATAGGCCGAACATTTGGCGTGATGCTAGAGCGGGAGACGTCGGATGATTGTGGTGTGGCGTAATATCGGAGCAAGCTGGCGTGGAATGTGTTGTGAAATTTCCAGTTGTCGGTAGCACAAGCCTCACTGTGAGAGGTATTAACATCCTCACGTCGCGGAAGGGTCTTACGTGGCGGGGGCAAAGTTTCACCCTGAAAATCCACATGCAGTCGACTATGCTCGCCCCAGGAGGGGGAACTGCGTCGACGTAGGTGCCTGTGGACTTCCGGGAAGCCATCTCTGCGTCCATGGCTGCCTGCCACTGAGAGGAGTACTGACCCGTAATCGTCTCTACGCAAGAGCGCGGGGTCGGGAAGTCTAGTGCATTCGGGTCTTCCTCAGGGGCAAGCAGCATGGCAGCGCAACGAGGTATAGCAGCCGCGAGGCACTCCAGCTCAGACTGCCTATTCGCAAGGCGGAAGGCAGCAGCAAAGTCAACGAGCTCAGTGCCTAAGGCAGACGCAGCAGCAGAATCAAACGTAGGGTCAGTCAAAAGTTTGGCCAGACAACGAGTGACTGTAGGACTAGCAGCATGAGCAAGGTCCGACGCAGGACAGGACGCTGAGCAACAGAGGAAGGACGAAGTGCCATTGTGTGACTGCCAGGGACAGATGGAGGACGAACACGGGGGGCACGACGAGTACGAGCAACAGGCGAGGCAGAACGAGACGGAGGCTCTCAACGCTCAGTCAAGGAGTCTGTCAACTTAGTGTGAAGAGAAGGATCAGGTAGTCGGGAGTCAGACAGTGGGGATTCAGGCAGAAGCTGTGTTTGAGACAGGGCAGTAGGCAGGACCAGGAGTGGAGGAGTGGGACCAGTAGTAGACGGGTCTACAGAGTCAGATGGAGAACGACGAACCTAGTGAAGTGCCGAACCAGGTGGTGGCAGCGGCGACTGCTTCTGGTCCCAGAAGAACGGGCACCGTGGTCGCGGCTGCGCAACACCTCCAGAACCTCTTGCTTTAGTACCTTAAGTACCAGAACCACCAGCAACTCCAACTCCAGCACCTCCAGTACCAGAACCTCCTGTACCTCCAGCTCTAGTACCTCCAGCACCAGAAGCACCAGCTCCAACGCCTCAAGTACCTCCAACTCCAGTACCTCCTGGACCAGCACCCCAAGAACCACCAGCAACAGGCTCTGGAAGTGGCAGCGATGACTGCTGCTGCTACCAGAAGAAGGGGGGCCGCGGATGAGGGTGCAACGCACCCGCAGAATCTCTAGTATTAGCACCCTTGGCTCCACCACCACTAGGACGCTCAGCACCCCCAGAACCAGCACCTCCAGAGGTAGAGCACCCAGACCTAGCGCCCCCAGAGCCCACACCTCCAGCGTCACCACCCCCAGGAGCATCGTAGTCCACCGTGACAAACTGCAGAGGTGGCAAAGACGACCGAGGCGGGAACCAGGAGGGGTCTCCAAGCATGGTGAGCGGCGAGAGGCCGCAATGTCATGAGTAGCAGGGTCACCTCCCTCAGCCGTTTCAGCGGGGTCTGAGGAGACCTCCACAAGCTCAACCAAGGGGGGTGGTGTGACCTGAGACACACCTGAGGGATCAAGATACGAAGGGGGTGTGGGGGAGGGGGGTCTACCGGGGGGGGTAACCTGGAACCAGGTGAGAAAATGAACGAGAATGAATCGACTAAGGGAAAGTTGGGTACAAGTACAAACCCTAGAAAGTCGTACCCCATATGTGCTACCCCACTATAGCCTACAACAGCTATGTCATATAAATCTGACACATTCCCATAGGCAAAGTGGGGGAGAACAAGGGGTCACAAGACCAGTCAAGCAAAGCAAAACAAGCTCAGAGTGGATCATAAAGTCACCACACATTCCGAGCAAAAGTTCAAGGCCACAAGGCCAGTTCACATGTAGGATTACATATATCTAAAGAACTAGACAAGCAAGAGCAGGTGTTTATATATATGTAACAGTACAAACAAGGTCAAGTGGTGAGCAAGTGAGGCAAGGCAGGCACAAGACCCAGCTGAGTACAGAAGCGCTGATGATCACAAGGCGCAAGCGCCTTGGTGAAGATATCAGCAGTGTTGGCCTCAGAGGCCACGTACGCAAGGCGCAGCAGACCATGCTGCTGTAGCTCACGAGCAAGGAAGTAGCAAAGAGCAATGTGCTTCGTTCTCTGCTCCAGTCTCTGCTCCCGACACAAGGCCAACATGGCCTTGTTGTCTACGTACAGCACTGGAGGAGAACGAGGCGACTCTCCGAGGTCAGTCAGTAGGTAGGTGAGCCAGCGAAGCTCCTGTGCAGCCATGGCTCCTGCGTAGATCTCAGCCTCACAACTGGAGCCGAGAACAGAAGACGAGCGGGTAGCCCGCCACGAAACAGAGCCGGAACCAAGGCTGAAGGTGTAACCCTGTGACGACCGCTGCGTAGCCTGGTCGTCAGCCCAAGAAGCGTTTGCGTGCCCAGTGAGGACCACTGGACTCTGCCCTCCAAGCACAAGCCCCATGCCCGACGTACTGCACAAGTAGCGCAACACCCTCTTCGCTGCAGCCATGTGCTCTGGTCTGTGTCTCCCAGGAGCAACATAGCGTGCTAAGATGCTAAGAGGTTATGCAAGGTCAGGTCGTGTGCAGGTCATCAGGTACATGAGGCAGCCAACAAGCTCTGGGTACGGGCCACTCGGCTCTACGGACTCATCCGAAGGCAGAGCTGAGAGCGAGTGGCGAGTAGGCAGAGGAGTGGCCTGAGGCGAGGAGTACGTGAAGCCGAAGCGCTGAAGGACCTGCTGCACCATGTGTGACTGAGTCAGGGTAATGGTGCGGCGTGCTCTGTCCCGGGTGATCTGTAGGCCAAGGTAGCTGCGCAGTTCACCCAGGTCTGTGCACGTGTGTCTCTTCTACAGCTCGGACTTCACGTGGGCGAGTCCAGCAGTGTCAGCTGTGGCAAAGACCAAGTCGTCGACGTACACGAGAATATAGAACGGCGGCAAAGAAGTGTCGGTGCGCAGAAGCAGCGACGGGTCGGCTGTAGAAGGAGCAAACCCAAGAGCCGCAAGTGTAGTCCTCAGTGTGTCGTGCCACTCACGCGGTGCCTGGCGGAGACCGTAGACTGGCCGCCGGAGGCTCCAATGGGTGCCAGGAGGAAAAGACCCAGTGAAGCCAGGTGGGCGACGCAGCCAGATCTCCTCGTGCAGGCTGCCCAGCAAGAAAGCAGTGCTGAAGTAAAGAGAGTGCAGCTCGTAGTCACGGTGAGCAGCTATGTGCAGCAGTACCCGAAGAGTGGTCATCGTCGGAGTGGGAGAGAAGGTCTGAAAGTAGTCAACTCCCTGCCGCTGACTGAAGCCACGAGCCACGTAACGCGCCTTGAAGACAGGCGGAGAACCCGGCGATCGCTTCACCCTGAAAATCCACATGCCACTGACGATGTTCGCCCCAGGCGGGGGAACCTCGTCAACGTAGGTGCCTGTGGACTTCTAGGAAGCCATCTCTTTGTCCATAGCTGCCTGCCACTGAGAGGAGTAGGGACCCTCTATCGCCTCCGCGTAAGAGCGCAGAGTCGGGATGTCAAGTGCATCCGGGTCTCCCTCAGGGGTAAGCAGTACGGACACGAGAAGAGGTGAAGTAGTAGCCAAACACTGGAACTCCTCCTGCCTGTCCTCAAGGACGTCCGTGCCAAGGGCTCACTCACCCTCGACGGACAAAGGACACACAGACTCAGACTCAGCGACTAGACTAGCAGCGTAGTTTAGACGACAACGAGCAGCAAAGTCGACGAGCTCAGCAACTAGGGCAGATGCAGCAGTGGACTCAAAGGAAGGGTCAGTGA